ATATATAGCACAAACACACAGGATACAGGATAGTTCGCTCGGTCCCACGATATATCTGCTTTGCAAACCTGAGGATGGCATAGATCCCTTCTGGAAAGTCTACACATTTCTGGATGGCGGGCGGGGAAAAAATGCAAAAGGTAGTATCAGTCCTAGTAGTCCTGACCATTTTTGTGCTCTTGATAAGGTACCTCTACCAGCCGGGAGAACACGAAGGAGACACTCAGAAACGAGCCACCGATTTGACATGGTCGATCAAAACTTACAACATAGATAAAGTGGACATCAAAGACGACGAACCCGAACTTGTACTATTTGCAAGATGGGCCACCGAGAGGTTTCGCCAGAGAGGAATTATTGGCCATACCCCACGACACAATGTTACCCCCACCCAAGAAGTAGCGATTCAAAATATTTAACACTTACCTCCATGTCGAGTGTTGGCTCGCGGTCGCCAGGAAGCCAGAGGTATTGATCATACCTCATGACACAATGTTGCCACCGCTCAAGAAGTAAACACAACAGTGTCACGTGACCAAGAAAGTTTTGGCTCGAGGTCATAGTGACCAGGAAGTTGGCTGGGGATTCAAAAGTGGTATATACAATAGCGGAAGAGATTAGGGCCTGATAAAAGCTTTTATAAATAAAGCTTTACAGAGGCTTTTGTCAAAAGTGATCTCGTACCGCTATTCTATATACTACTGGAGAGAAAAAAAATTGAAAGATTTGTGAATTCTGCATTGAAAACAGATGCAAATCAGAGCTTTTACAGTCCCATTACTAGATCAGATGTCAAAACATTTACTGACATGACAAAGGCAATTGAATTCAAGAGCAAAGTAGGAAACGTCTTGACTAGAAATCATATTTCGTCGCGCTCTGATCCTATCCTTCAGGGGCGGATACAGCTTATTGAGAAGGTGTGTTTGTGGGTGTGTGTGTGTGTGTGGGGGTGTTGCACAGTTTAGTTTCACGAGAGTTTCAATGGTCATTTAATAAAATTTCTGGACAAAAGGGGTGTGTGCACACACGCACACACACCAGATCCGCCTATTTCCTTGCTACATGTGAAGATGTCACTCTGGAAACTGTTCTCAGGCACCATATAGGTTCCGTTTTAACTTCTCATATCCTTGAAGAAGGCACCATTAGGAAATGTGCAAAGTGTGACCTTGGATACATACTAGAGAAGTACCAAAGCATAATGAAATATCTTCAGATACATCCAGTCAGACAGTTTACATTCGAAATGGCATGGCAGGACTCCACATGATGTCAGGGAACACCTTTTCCATTTGACAATTTAGCAGACTCAGCTTATGTACTGCTTCAACAAAGCAGATGTTGTTGTAGATGTTTTAATAGGTACGACCATAATGAGTGAGAACCAGGAGAAGGATGGGAGCTGCATACAGTAGCAAGTAATTAGTTGTTGATGTGACCCTGGTTAGATTTCTTTGTGACTAAGCAGTATTTCATGACCAGGACCATCTTAATGGACATCCAGAGAGAAAGTTGATGCCAGCTGGGGGATTCAGCAATAGTGAGAAGACTAGTTAGAAGGAAGAAGATGCCCTCTCCATGGAGAAACTGACACCTGTATAATTCTTCATTCCATACATGTAGATATGGAATTTGCTTCTAGGTCCATTCAAGGCCAACTGAAGACACCTAACAGTGATTTTGCTTGTTTTCAATGGCAGGATCAAGTTTAGAAAATGCATTGTGGGCCGTTAGAATCATCGCAGCACAATTATATGAGCCTAAAGGAAAACAGCAAGGCAGTCACGGTACACTGAGCACTCTCGGAGCAAAGAAATGATTTGAGTCTTCTTTGTGCCTCCATGTGAATATAGTTTCACTTAACATGTACGACGTGCATGTTGGCAAAGCAGAGTATGGATATCATTCCGTATTGCAAAATAAGTTTTGGGTGTCCCGTGGCCTTTTGACTGGAGGAAAGAGAATGACGATCTGGAACCTGTGTACTTTCAATGTATGATGGCAGAAGAGATACTACAGTGTTGTCTCTACTCCTGAAAGAACTGAAAATTTGGACTGGACTGTTTGCCTGCAAATAATGCAACCATATACCTAAATGCGCATTTGTCAGGGAGGTATAAAGTGTCTGAATCAGTTGGAAAAGTAGACATTCACAGAAAACTGTAGATAAACACTGACAATGCTATATGAAAATAACCTTGGAAGATTTGCAACATCGTGCATCTCCAAAGATTATCATTCTAAGAGTCAAAAAGACATATGTCTCGATTTCATTGCAATGTTTGAATTATTTTCCCTAGTGTTATCTAATACTTTACACAATTTCTATTGCCTTGGGATGGGCACAGAGATTTCACGCAAAGAGAACGTTTCCTGATGAAACTGATAAGTAAATTTCCAAAAAGGCTGATTTCCCCAAAAATATGATTTTCAGGTTTTATCTGAATTATTGCCTTTTGGTCATTTAATTAAATAAAAACAATTCAGAATATGCCTTAACACCATTAGTGATGGAAACTTAACAAACAAAATGAATGATTTATATATCTAAATTAAACATCGTAATTATATGTTTTGGGGCGTGTGGGATCACGTGACATGCAGTTTTAAAACTGGACCATATCTGGCCACCACCTCATGGCCTATGTTAATGTAGGCACAATAGGCTTTCCAATGAGCCATAATATGTCCATACAAGAGATGGGGGCATTAAACTCCTTTATTAGGCCACTTTTCTTAAAGTCGCTGCTCTCCTAACAGCCACAGATATTTATGATACAAGTATGAAATTATTAGTGTGATAGAACCATTATAGGAGATGCTACACGTTTGTCAGGAGTGAGTGAGCGAGTTTAGTTTTACGCTGCACTCAGCAATCTACCAGCCATATGGCGGTGGTCTGTAAATAATCGAGTCTGGACCAGACTATCCACTGATCAACAACATGAGCATTGATCTGCGCCATTGGGAACCGATGACATGTGTCAACCAAGTCAGCAAGCCTGACCACCCGATCCTGTTAATCACCTCTTACGACAAGCATGGGTTACTGAAGATCAATATTCTAACCCGGACCTTTACAGGTGACATTTGTAAGGAGAGGGGGAATGCCGGAACAGATAGTTGCTGTGATAAAACTGTTCTAGAACAGTACCCAATGTAATCATAGTGTGACGCTATAAAAGACTTAGGAATGGAATTATGGAATATTAGAATAAACCTTTGATTTCTACAGAAATGTTTAATTGGCAGCGTATAACTTTTGAAGACTTAAAGCTCATATGTTTGCTTTCAAAACTCTTCAGATACTACAAAATTTTCGGTTGCCATAGGTTTGCATTTGTTAAATCTCTTTACTGATTAGCCTGACAGCCTGGTCAGAGATAACGCAAAGTCATGCCCCTGTCAGCTGGTTGTTTGTCTGTAGTGTGTGTTCTGTGAGTAGGTTCTGAGTGCCATGGGCATGGTCCAGTGTTGGGTCATGTCAGTGTTGGGTCATGTCAGGCTGAGGCTCTGCTGACAGAAGTTACACAATATGCATGAAAGGGAAGCTAGCTTTTGCCAACAATGTGCACACAATATTTAAATCAGATGGTAACAGGCATACTGAGTGCATAAATGATTGTCTATGCTTACTGTATACCCCAGCACATGCAGATATAATGGACTTGTTGAAATAGATTTAAATAATTCAGATAGCTTCTCCTGGAATGACTCATTCCTTTGTTGCTGAGGTTGTACAAGTGTTTCGGTAACTTACTGATCAGCAGTTAGAGTTTGTTCTCAAACTTTCAACAAATGCAGGCGGCGGCGTGGTAGCCTAGTGGTTAAGGCTGTCGCTTGTCACGCCGAAAACTCAGGTTCGATTTTCCACATAGGTACAGTGTGTGAAGCCTATTTCTGGTGTCCCCCATCGTGATATTGCTGGAATATGGCTAAAAGTGGTGTAAAACCCAACTCACTCACTTCAACAAATACTTCAACCCAGGTAATGACATCTGAGCAGTGTAGGTTGTGAACATCGGGTGGTTGGGTAGTCTAGTGGTTAAAGCGTTCGCTTGTCATACCAGAGACCACACATGGGTACGCGGGCAAGTATCTGGTTTCTCCTGCCTTGATGGTACTGGAATATAGCTAATATCTTTTATGAAACCTGACTTGCGGATCACTGATCACTCGAAGTGATGAGTTGACTAGCAGGGTTCTCTTAGTAAAATTCTTGATTGTATATCTCAGCAGATTTCAAATAGATTAACAACTTATAAGCCAGTTTTGGAAGAAACAGCACCCCAGTTTGTGGATATGTGTCTTTTCCTACCATCAAAACTAACAGTAAACCCAACGGTAATCTGAAATGTAAACAGTGAAAGGATTTCCCTCTAGTCACACAGGTAAAAATTCCAGATAAGTCTCTATAAATATGGCAAATCAGAGGCCCAGATAAGCTGCGTATCCGGGTAAAATACGCATATAAAATTTCCAATTACGCATTGAAAAATAATTTGTGCGTACCAGTTACGCATTTTAAATGTTAGATACGCAAAAAGTTTAAAGAAATGCATACAGAATATATTTATAAAAATCGCTTGCGTAATGAAAAAGACATGGATTGCTATCAAGTTGTACTGTTAGTATAGGACAAGTGTTGTACTGTCAGTATAGGATGAGTGATTTTTTATGAAATCATTTCCATTATATTTAAGTTGGTTTTGATTAGGTATGACATAAGGCAGAACATACCTCCTTAGTAAACTTACTCAATGACATAATACTTAGGTGAGTAAAATGACTGAAATACGCACATATTTGAAAGCAGTGGATAACGGAAAATGAAATACCCACTCAACATTCATAATACCCACTCCAAAAATATACAGTCGGTACAGTACCCACATGAGCTAAATCTTATCTGGAGCTCTGGCAAATAAATAAACATATTCGAGCTAAATAAGGTAATCTGAAATTAACAACACTTTGTATTTAAATAATGTATTTACCTTTCATATTTTGCTGGCCTATTGTTTGAGTGCTTCCCCTGGTATTCCTTGTGCCTGTAGTCAGTGTTCAAGTAGTGCATGGTGGTATTGATTGTACATGGGTAGGTGAGGAACAGCGGAGCTGGGCTTAAGGTGAACGAGTGGGCTAAGATTGCTAGACTGCAATGTCATCACATTCTGTGAATGAGTAATGAGATTATATTGATTTGTTGTTTCCATGCTGAATACTGAAACCCGAGCTCTATAACAAATTTTCCGCAATAACAATAACACTATAATTATATATTTTGAAAACAAAATACCTTCCTCAAGTAGTTTATCCTATTGATCAAAATCTGATAATTAATGTATACTGGCCTGCAAGTTTAATGAGATGTACTGATTGGTGTCTAGAATTAATCAGAAGCTGCCTGTCCTTTCTAGGATGTTTATTTGAAGCAACATGGCTAGCTCAGTGTTCACATGCCTAGACATCTGATATGTGGATACGGCAACTCTACTGCAGCACAAAACATATCTTTTATATGTTTGGCAGAATTGCCACTTACTTTTGGCAGTTATTTGTTTCGTAAGCTGACTCTACACTATGTCCTAGGTCAACATAGGCCTCCAAATCTAATGACCTTAGTGCAGTTTTGTACGTCACCCGAGAAAACCTATACGCCTCAAGAACTGAACCCTTATTCTTGGTTTTAATCTTTGCAAGATATTCCTTTGATTTTTTTTAAAGAACAAATAAACTGTTGTTTTTTGTACTCTTTTAACCATTACATATGAAAGACGTGTGGTTAGTCTCAAGCGGAATGCCAAATTTGTTTTTAAAAAACTTGTGGTTAATTAATACCGAGCGATTAAAAGTTGCCCAAAAGTTGCCTCCTTCGCTATCGCCCGCCAATGAAACCACAGAGAGGTTACGTTACGTCGCCAGAGCACTGCAGCGAACCAGAAGTGACGTCATCTTAGGAAGGATTTTGCAGTTAGTTGTATATAAAAGTGTGTAACAAGCTCGTCATTTTGCTGATTTCTTGTCGTCAATGAAGACATGCCGAATCGTTCCGTTGCCGTCAATCGCTCCTAGAGGTCGGGCGATGGTGTCACCATGTACTGATTTCCACCGGACCCCATAGTTCGTGCTAAATGGGTTATGTTTGAGCTTGCGAAGTGAGCGTTGTGGAAGCCTGGAACGATATCTTACTTGTGTTCAGATCGCTTCACGGAAGTTAAAGAATCAAAACTACTTACTAGTTGTGGTAAAATATGTATATGATTGATGACCAAAAGAGTTTCCATGACACAATTTGTAACATAATGATTTTTTCCTCGGAAGTGAGGTTGTGGTCGAAGTAACAATAATATTGTAAGTAGTGTTATATTGACACCCACCTCGCTTCCACGAGAGAAATTGTTATGTTATAAGCTATGTCATGCAAAATCCTATTGGCCTTCAATCAAATACATATTTTAATACCAGTAGAAAGTAGTTTTGATTTTGTAACTCAGTGAAAACAAACCTAAAAAGCATTTATCCTCAGACTGGCGGATGTTCGTGAAAGGGCGCAGCCATTTTTTAAAAATCGTGACATCACAGGCTAAACTCTGTTAGAATTAAGACACAAGAAATGCCAAATAGGAACCGTTGTTGGGTAATCTAAGTGGTGTTACCACTAATTATACCTGTTATAAATTCATTAACTGACCATCAAGTGAATGATGACAAATAACATGTGTAGGTTTATACCACCTAACACGGGTTACAACAAGGGAGTATTAATTGCTGCATTGCATGTGAAACCTTATGGGCCAACACTGTTTTGAGAATACAAACAGAACTTCATTGTTGCATAAGAAATACATATAAGCATTTGCTGTGTGCTAAAACCTTATGTACCTATTTACCTAAGTAAGTTTTCAGATTCTTGTAGCAATGGTAAAGTGGGGTTGATTCAGATAAATCAGATCACACTGTTGAAGATCATACGTAATAAACATAATATTTTTACATGACATGATTAGATATCGAGGTAAAAAAACCACAGAAATGGGATCAATTTGGATCAGTCATTATACCATCCAGGCATTAGAAAACCTGAAAAAACCCACACTGCTTTGATACTTTATTACAATCAGACAAGAACTGACGGGGATATTTTCAAATAACGGCATCTGATGGGCCTCCACCCTTCCTAATGTCTCACTGTTTAGGTTGAAGAAATTAACTGTAACCGTGATGAGCGAGTCTGATCATTGTTTTCACTATCACTAGCGTCTGGCTCGACCAAATAAGGCTTAGCGACACCAAGCGATTTTGACAGAATTGTCTATGAAAACAAGTTGTAACTCGGAAGCTAGGCAAAGCAGGTGGCAAAATTAAATGACAGTAGATTGTGAGATCATATGGGTCATTTTCAAAATTGGTAGGATTTTAAATTCTTTATTACAGTAAAATCAAACTCCTGAAAATTGATTTAGTTTTTATTCAAATGAAATCTCAAACACTTAATTATTCAATAATACAAACATGCAGGCTCAAATTTACTAATTGGGCTTTTAATTGATACATAAGTAATTAATAGGATGAGGGAAGGTCCTGACCGTTACCACTTCTTAATCAGAATAAGGATTTTGAAATATAATTCATAAAAATCTTTTAAAGATGGCATACACAGCTTTTACACCGACTTAATCAAACTTGAAGGTAAAGACTATTATCATGAATCTTGAAAGTGTTATTTTGTATCTTTCATTTATTTACCACAAAATAATTGCATTTTTCTAAAACATTTTTATGCATATAGCTTTCAACAGGTAAAATTGTCTAAAATAAACATCAGCTACTAAGCCCAGAACATCTTTTGATGACACCAGCATAAAGAGGAGTGTTTCATGTATTATCATGAATTAATTAAAGCAGTCAATTAACACCAGTTACGGTTAGGACAATAGTGGTAACGGTTTGGACAGGAATGGTAACAGGCTGGACATAAACCTTAAACAATTTAATTCAACATAGAAACAGGTAACATGAAAGTAAAAAATGATATCATTTACTTCAATTGCTAACCCTATTTTGGCTAGACAGTGAAGTGTGTATTAGAAATTGTAACTTGTAACAAATGTGACATGTTTTCTTCCATGCTGTGGTAACGGTTTTGACATGTGTTATATCAATATGAAACTTGTGAATGAATTTAGGCTTTTGAATAAAAACAAACTGTAGCTTCTAAAGAATAGAAAAACAGACCTGTCTAGGTTGAAAATCACTTATAATCTGAAGAAGAGTGCAATTGGGGAACGAAAATTGAATGAATAGTAACGGTTGTGACATTATTGGTAACGGTCAGGACATCAGTGTAACAAACAAATATTATCCCTCTAAAAAGTTGCAAAAGATTAAATTCTGAAAGGTACTGCAACAACTATGATACTGTACACATGGTCATGCTACACAGGTCACTGCATAGATATCATTTTGCTGTTGATATTATGGTGCAATATTAGTCTCCACGAAATATACTTCTTTCATTCACTCGGATACCTTTAGTTTTGTTAATCGTGAGATGGTAACACGTATTTATCAAATACAAAGGTCTGGCCAACATATTAGCACCTAGCAAATATTCAAAGTAAATGGTAGCCTTACATATCTCACAGTTAAAGTTAAAACAGTTTACACCCAAAAAATCTTTGAAGGTTGGAATACTGAAAGTTGTTTACCGTTACTACATTTTGTCCAAACTGTTACCATAGATGTCCTAACCGTTACCTTTAATTTATAAAGACTATAGATCTTATAGAAAATAGAAACTTAACATGATAAATTCGTTTTGGTTTTTATTATTTAAAGCAGATAGATAAGTAAATAGAAAATTATTATCACACCATGGAACATATTCTTTAAAATTGAAGTTTACTAAAGATATGTCCAAACCGTTACTATTATTTGTCCAAACCGTTACTAGAGACTGTGTTTTTTATGCTACTACACCAAAACTCCTTTGAACAGTAAAATTCCATGCTTAAACTCATCTTAACCCTTAAAGTAATTATAAATTTGTTATATTTCAAATATTAATGAACAACTTTTTGAAATACAAATCATTTTGTCCAGACCGTTACAAGGACTGTCCAAACCGTTACTTTGCAGAATGGTAACGGTTTGGACAGTAACGGTCAAGACAATTTGTAAGTAAATATAAAATAAAAAAATGAATGATCCCTAAAAGATTCAAAGGACATGCTTTCCACCTCTTCCATTTCTGGGCAACATATCCATTGAAATTTAAAAAAACAAAGAGAAATATTTGACACAAAATATATTGGTAACGGTCTGGACAATTAAGGTTGACACATAACATTTATACGTTTTTGATGGTGCCCATTTTCTGCAAAATGTGTTGAATTTCATTATTTAATCTGCTGTCACATGCACAGGGGCGGGCTCAAGCAGACACAGGAAGTAGAATTACAATCCAGCTCCAGGGGGATATTATTGCAGGAATTTCATACACTGGTAACGGTCAGGACACAAAATCACAGGACAAGCATGTTACAATTTGTAGAAAAAAACTTTTTTAAGTTAAAACAAAATTAAATGCAGTTTGAGTATGCCTGTTCAATCCTAATTGGCATAATATGAATTAGTTTGTTTATTTGCACTTATATTTACATTATTTGTGAACATTGATATTAAGACAGTCACCTCCGGACAGAGGAAATCTGCCAATTTTGACCCTAAAATGTGGCTAAATATAAATTTCAAAATGACAAGACTAATGATATACCACATTTACTGACTAGTAAACATCTAAATATGTTTTCTAGCACAAAAGAATCCTTTTAAGTTAACAGAGTTTTTTTTATTTGGAACGGACAGAAAATCCTACCAATTTTGAAAATGACCCATATAGCTTTCATTTTTCACAACAATTGTCACGATTTCAGGTTTATACAAACCTGTACACAAGATAATTTACCCCCTGAAATGTACATGAATTCTACATCGGTCCTCATATCTATTCCTCATATGACGTCACGGAGATGCGCCCCTGATTGGTTGAAATTTCGTTTGAGGGTGAGAATTGTGCACTCTTGTAAAAAAGGTCGATTTAAGTTAATTAA